TGACTAAAAACAGTGTTGAAAACTGATTATATGAGTGAATTTCTCAAGTCCAATGACCATAACTCTGCCCAAAATTATTAGACAGAAACAAAAATTTGAACTTGATCTGTAACTTGTCATGATAAAACTATATACCAATTATCAAGCAATATCTTATAAGCATGATGAAAAAAACATTAGATATGATTAATAGTTCTCTAGAATTAGATATGATGTAATACAGTGTATATCTATTTCAAATTATAATCAGATATAATTAATAGTTCCAAATATTTTTTTCTTTCATTTGTCACAAACTAATATAGATTTGTAACTTATCTATAAAATGTCAACAACTTTTATCTACACAATGTAATGTATTGAAATATATACATTAATAAAAATAGATTATTATCTAATTAAAGGATTTCTCTTCATAATTTTTTTTGATATATATATAGCATTCAGAAAATTAGTTTATACTAAATAACAAACAAACCTGTCAAAAAATTCTTCAAATAATTCAACAAAGAATGTCTTTTGAAAAATGAGTTATCTCCTTTTGTACAGAAATATGGTTTAACATAGTACTCTCACATTAGATATGGTCCAGAGTTATGGTCCATAACTCTGGACTAAATCATCAGACCGGAACAAAATTCGAACTTGATCTATAACTTGTCATGATAAAACTATATACCAAATATCAAATCAATATCTTTAAGAACGACGAAAAAAAGTGTGGAAAGCTGATTTGCCGGACTGACGGATGGACAGATGAACAGACGGACAGACGGACGGAGTGCAAACCTAAAGTCCCCTTCGACTTCGTCGGTAGGGGACTAATTAAACAAAAGTGTAATTTAGGACCCTTTGGACCTCAATGTGGTATTATCTTATTAATAATGAAAAGAAATACAGGTTTAGATTAAGCATTTCAAAGAACCCTATATATATTCAATTTATGTTGAAATCAAACACAGTTTAATTTTGGACCCCGATTTTGACCAACTTGAAAACTGGGCCAAAAATCAGAAATCTAAATATATGTTTATTAATAGACAATATAAGCTTAGTTTTTAAAGGAGTTCACTTCATAAAAAAAACTAGAGGCTCTAAAGAGCCTGTGTCGCTCACCTTGGTCTATGTGCACATTAAACAAAGGACACAGATGGATTCATGACAAAATTGTGTTTTGGTGATGGTGATGTGTTTGTAGATCTTACTTTACTGAACATTCTTGCTGCTTACAATTATCTCTATCTATAATGGACTTGGCCCAGTAGTTACAGTGGAAAATATTTTGTAAAAATTTACAAAAATTTACAAAATTTATGAAAATTGTAAAAAATTGACTATAAAGGGCAATAACTCCTTAAGGGGTCAATTGACCATTTTGGTCATGTTGACTTATTTGTAGATCTTACTTTGCTGTACATTATTGCTGTTTACAGTTTATCTCTATCTATAATAATATTCAAGATAACCAAAAGCTGCAAAATTTTCTTAAAATTACCAATTCAGGGGCAGCAACCCAACAACCTGTTGCCTGATTGGTCTGAAAATTTCAGGGCAGATAGATCTTGACCAAATGAACAATTTTATGCCCTGTCAGATTTGCTCAAAATGCTTTGGTTTCAGAGATATGAGCCAAAAACTGCATTTTACCCTATGTACTATTTTTTAGCCATGTCAGCCATCTTGGTTCGCGGGCGGGGTCATCAGACACATTTTTTGAACTAGATACCCTAATGATGATTTTGGACAAGTTTGGTTAAATTTGTCTTAGTAGTTTCAGAGGAGAAGATTTTTGTAAAAGATTACAAAAATTTACGAAAAATGGTTAAAAATTGACTATAAAGGGCAATAACTCCTTAAGGGGTCAACTGACCATTTTGGTCATGTTGACTTATTTGTAGATCTTACTTTGCTGAACATTATTGCTGTTTACAGTTTATCTCTATCTATAATAGTATTCAAGATAATAACCAAAAACGGCAAATTTCCTTAAAATTACCAATTCAGGGGCAGCAACCCAACAACGAGTTGTCCGATTCATCTGAAAATTTCAGGGCAGATAGATCTTGACCTGATAAACAATTTTACCACATGTCAGATTTTTTCTAAATGCTTTGGTTTCAGAGATATAAGCCAAAATCTACATTTTACCCTTATGTTCTATTTTTAGCCTTGGCGGCCATCTAGGTTGGTTGGCCGGGTCACTGGACACATTTTTTTAAACTAAATACCCCAATGATGATTGTGGCCAAGTTTGGTTAAATTTGGCCCAGTAGTTTCAGAGGAGAAGATTTTTGTAAAAGTTAACGGACGACGGACAACGGACAACGGACGACAGACGCCAAGTGATGAGAAAAGCTCACTTGGCCCTTTGGGCCAGGTGAGCTAAAAATATATAGCATTCAGAAAATTAGATTTTACAGAATAACAAACAAACTTGCCACAAAGTTCTTCAAACAGTTTACCAAAGAAAAGTAGAAAAAAATCCAAAATTTTATCTATCATTAATAAAATGTCTTTTCAAAATCTATAAAACTTATCAGTAACAAGAAATAATTGTAACATGATGTTGTTACGAAGTCTCCCAAACAAAGCTCCAATAATTCGTCATTCCCATGGTCGCCTGACATTGGGCAAAGTCCAGTACAAATTGGTTTGTGATATGCATAAGTGACACCTATGGATTGACCCTGTATGTCATTCAAATCTTCTTGAAATGACGATCAGGAATATATATGGTTAAAGGGTGGAGATCTCGACCGTTTACAAGTTCTCAAAAGGGGGGGGGGGGGGTGGGGGGGGGGTGGGAGGTGATTCCTAGGGGACTCGCCCTTATTTCCTATGATTTGTTTTTTTTTGTCCCCTACAAGAATTTATATGGTTAAGGGGTGGGGATCTCGACCGGTTCACAAGTTCTTAAACAGGAGGGGGGTGGGGGTGACCCCAGGGGACTCGCCTTTTATTTCATTTGCTTTGTTTTATTATCCCATACAATAATATATATGGTTTCGGGGTGGGGATCTTGACCGTTTACAAGTTTTTAAAAAGAAGGGGGTGGGGTTAACCCCAGGGGATTTCTCCTAAATTTCATTTGATTTGTTTTATTGTCCCATACAAGAATATATATAGTTTAGGGGAGGGGATCTCGACCGTTTACAAGTTCTCAAAAAGAAGTGGGTGGGGTTACCCCTGTGGACTTCTATATTTCATTTGATTTGTTTAATTGACCTATACAAGAATATATATGGTTTCGGGGTGGGGATCTTGACCGTTTACAAGTTATTAAAAAGAAGGGGGGTGGGGGTTACCCCCATGGACTTCCCCTATATTTCATTTGATTTGTTTTATTGTCCCATACAAGAATATATATGATTTAGGGGTGGGGATCTCAACCGTTTACAAGTTCCCAAACAGGAGGGGATTGGGGTGACTCCAGGGAACTCGCCTTTTATTTCATTTGCTTTGTTTTATTATCCCATACAAGAATATATATGGTTTTGGGGTGGGGATCTTGACCGTTTACAAGTTTTTAAAAAGAAGGGGGGGTGGGGGTAACCCCAGGGGATTTCTCCTAAATTTCATTTGATTTGTGTTACTGTCCTATACAAGAATATATATATAGTTTAGGGGTGGGGATCTCGACCGTTTACAAGTTCTTAAAAAGAAGGGGGTGGGGTTACCTTGTGGACTTCTATATTTCATTTTGATTTGTTTAATTGACCTATACAAGAATATATATGGTTTCGGGGTGGGGATCTTGACAGTTTACAAATTATCAAAAAGAAGGGGGGTGGGGGTTACCCCCATGGACTTCCCCTATATTTCATTTGATTTGTTTTATTGTCCCATACAAGAATATATATGGTTTAGGGGTGGGGATCTCAACCGTTTACAAGTTCTCAAACAGGAGGGGATTGGGGTGACTCCAGGGGACTCACCTTTTATTTCATTTGATTTGTTTTATTGTCCCATACAAGAATATATATGGTTTAGGGGTGGGGATCTCGACCGTTTACAAGTTTTCAAAAAGAAGGGGGTTGGGGTTACCCCCATGGACTTCCCCTATATTTCATTTTATTTGTTCAATTGACCTATACAAGAATGTATATGGTTTCGGGGTGGGGATCTTGACCATTTACAAGTTCTCAAAAAGGAGGGGGTGGGGGTGCCTTGCCTTTTATTTCATTTGATTTGTTTTATTGTCCCATACAAGAATATATATGGCCTCGGGGTGGGGATCTTGACCGTTTACAAGTTTTCAAAAAAGAAGGGGGTGGGGCTGGACTTCCCCTATATTTCATTTGATTTGTTTTATTGTCCCATACAAGAATATATATGGTTTCGGGGTGGGGATCTTGACCGTTTACAAGTTTTCAAAAAAGAAGGGGGAGGGGGTGACCCCCCTGGACTTCCCCTAAATTTCAGTTGATTTGTTTCATTGTCCCATACAAGAATATATATTGTTTAAGGGTGGGGATCTCGACCGTTTGCAAGTTCTCAAACAGGAGGGGCTAGGGGTGACCCCAGGGGACTCGCCTTTTATTACATTTGATTTGTTTTATTGTCTCATACAAGAATATATATGGTTTCAGGGTGGGGATCTTGACTGTTTACAAGATAAAAGCACATTTTCAAATTGAAGGGGGTCGGGGTAAGAATATATATGGTTTAGGGAGACTTAATTATCTACAAAATGTCTAATAATGAACAGTAAATTTCAAACTTCATTTATACAGTCCTTCTAGTAAATTTCAAACTTTATATATACAGTCCTACAGATCTTATCACGAAACAGAAAATTTTCAAATAAATCTGTCACTCCAATGATTATCATATGCTAAGATATTTCCCAGATCTAATTAATAATGAAAATCATACTTGCAAATCTGTTTAACATAGTACTTTAACATTACATATATAATAATTAATAATGTAATTAACTTCAAAATGTCTAATAATATAGCTTATAATCATCACCACTTAGGAAATAGAAAATTTTCAAATAAATCTGCCACTCCAATTTTTATTGTGAGATAAGACATTTACCATACGCTTAGTCATAATATGATAACAAGAGAAAATTTTTTAAAAAATACCACTTTTGGATATTAAAAATGGTGATAACTCAAAAAGGAGAAATACTAAAATAGTGAAAATTGAACTTGACCTTCATTAAGTCCAAGGAAACAACATATTTAAATTTGAAAAAAATTTGTTAAAGCATTTTCATGTTATTGTGGAGACACTGTTTGGCAGCTGCCCAGCCGCTGCCGTACATCCCCATTTTAATAACCGATATTTCCTTCGAAAATCCGGTTAAAAATTGGAATTTATGACATTCTTTGAAATGCTGAATCTAACCATGTATTGAGAGATTTTGGATTGTAGGCTCCTTTATCAAATTGGTCCACATTGAGGTTTGCTGATTCTAATATGTACTTAGATTTTGGATATTGGACCATAAAAGGTAAATGTCCAATTTCAAATATTTCAGTTCTTTGACCACATTCATTTTGTGTCACAAACCTTTGCTGTGTCAAATATTCAGTCACAATCCAAATTCAGAGCTTTTTTAAGCTTAAATGAAGTGTCCATACTTGCTCAACTGTTCAGGGTTTGACCTCTGCGGTCGTATCAAGCTGTGCCCAGTTGAACTTGACCTTCATTTAGTCACAAGAAACAACATATCTAAATTTGAAAAAAAATCATCTCAGCGTTTTCATGTTATTGAAGAGACACTGTTTGGCAGCCGCCCGTCCGCCCGCCGTACATCCCCAAATCAATAACCGATATTCCTTCGAAAATCCGGTTAATAAAATGCTCCGCTTGGTGTAGCTTGAAATTACTGTAGAGGTTGAACCCTGAACAGTTGGGGCAAGTATGGTCACTACATTCAAGCTTGATACAGCTCTGGATTTGGATTGTGATTAAATATTTGACATATCATAGGTTTCTGACACAGAATGAATGTGGTCGAAAAACTGAAAAATTTGAAATTGGACTTTTACCTATCATGGCCCAATTTTAAAATCTAAATACACGGTTAGATTCAAAGAATCCCAAGAATTCATTTTTTTAAATTCAAACAAAGATTAATTTTGGACCCTTTCGACATCAATGTGGACCAATTTGTAAAGGGCCCAAAATCCAAAATCTAAATACATTGCTAGATTCAACATATCAAATAACAACATATATTCAATTTCTGTTGAAATCAAACAAATTTTAATTTTGGATCCCGATTTAGACCAATTGAAAGAAGAAACAGATGACCCCACTTGTAAATATACAAGATCAATGTACTAATTCATACCGATTGATGTTTTGTTTTCTTTGAAACTTAAGGACATTTGTTTCTGTATGTTGTCATTAGAGATTGCTTGGGTGTTTGAGTGCTCTCATTGTTCAATAACAATCAGTAATATGGTAAGTTAAGAAACAATGTACGTTACACCCCCCTTATTTGAACTTGATCTGTGTTTAGTGGTAATAAGCATTGTGTATAAGTTTAAAAACATTTGGTTGAGGCAAAGAAAATTTAGAGTGCAGAAACGGCAAATTCATCATTTTTTTCCATTTATAAAGGGACATAACTCAAGAATGGAGACAGTGACACCACCAAAATTTTCAAACTTGATCTGTGTTTGGTAGTAATAAGCATTGTTTATAAACTCATCATAGATACCGGGATTGAAATTTTGTATTTGCGCCAGACGCGCGTTCCGTCTACAAAAGACTCATCAGTGACGCTCTAATAAAAAAAATGTGGATAGTGTCCACATGTGGACACAGATGATGCCCCCGCTTGCACATCATATAGTTATTAAGGGACATAACTGAAGAACGGTAAAAGTGACGCTACCCAAATTTGAACTTGATCTGAATTTTGTGGTAATTAGCATTGTGTGTATGTCTCATAACATTTGGTTGAGGCTAACTTAAGTAGAGAACAGAAACTAAAAATTCATCAATTTTTCTATTTGTAAACACGGATAACTCTAGAACGGTTGTGTATAAGTTTTATAACATTTGGTTGAGACAAACTAAAGTTAGAAAACGGAAACAAATTAATTTATCAGTAGGAAGTAAAATTGAATATTGCATTGTATAAAGCATTGGTTGTAGTTGATTCAACTACCATTATGCACAAAGAAAGATAACTCCAATTTTCAAAGAAGACTTTAAATATTTTTAGAAATGAAGGGTAAAAATTGCTTTAATTTATCAGTGGAAGGCAAAATTAATCATTGCATTGTATAAAGCATTGATTGTAGTTGATTCAACTATAATCATGGACAAAGGAAGATAACTCCAATTTTAAAAATGACTCGATATTTAGAAAAAAAAAAAAAAAAAAATTTAACAATTTTTCCATTTGTAAAGGGCATAACTCTAGAACAGTAAAAGTGACGGCACCAAAATTCAAACTTGATCTGTATATTGTGGTAATAAGCATTGTGTATAAGTTTCATAACATTTGGTTGGGGCAAACTAAAGTTAGAGAACGGAAACGAAAAATTCAGCATCTTTTCCATTTGTAAAGGGGCATAACTCTAGAACGGTTAAAAGTGACACCATCAAAATTCAAACTTGATCTGTTTTTTGTGGTAATAAGCATTGTGTATAAGTTTCATAACATTTGGTTGAGGCAAACTAAAGTTAGAGAACGGAAACAAAAAATTCAGCATATTTTCCATTTGTAAAGGGGCATAACTCTAGAACGGTTAAAGTGACGCCACCAAAATCCAAACTTGATCTGTGTTTTGTGGTAATAGGCATTGTGTATAAGTTTCATAATATTTGGTTGAGGCAAACTAAAGTTAGAGAACGGAAACCAACTTTGGGACGTACGTACGTACAGACGGACAAGGGTAAAACTTAATGCCCCCTCCGCAACGGCGAGGGCATAAAAATCTGTAAAAATTTGACATTAGTTGCAATAACTCCTATAAGAAGATGTCTGACAGTTTTCCTGTAAATGGACAGCAGGTTGTTCTCAACATTCTGAATATTTCTGCCCGTCAGATTTTCTCTATTCATAGCAGTTTTCAAGATAATAGACAAACCTTGCATTTTACCCCTATGTTCTACTTTTAGCCATGTCGTCCATGCTTGTTGGCTGGCGGGATCATTGGACACATCTGTTAAACTAAATACCCTAATGATGATTGTGGCCAAGTTTGGTTAAATTTGGCCCAACAGTTTCAGAGGAGAAGATTTTTGTAAAAGTTAATGACGAACAACGACGACGACAGACTCCAAGTGATGAGAAAAGCTCACTTGGCCTTTAAGCCAGGTGAGCTAAAACATACTTTGACTCTTTGGTATCAACAGAAATTGTTCCTTTGAGAAGAAAAAGAAGGCCAGGTGAGCTAAAAAATACTTGGATTCGTTGGCATCAACAGAAATTGTTCATAAATCGATAACTAACTGGCAATGCCATGGCCAAAAAAGTAAAAGACAAACAGACAAACAACAGTACACCAAACAACATAGAAAACCAAATACTGAGCAACACGAACCCCACCAAAAACTGGGGGTGATCTAAGGTGCTCCGGAAGGGTAAGCAGATCCTGCTCCACATGTGGCACCCGTCGTGTTGCTCATGTAAGTACAAGCCCGGTGATATGCAAACGTAGGTCACATTCAGGGGAAAGGGGACGAGATTGTTTTTTTTTACTTCGACCAGTTTTGAATCCCTCTGCATGAATCTATGTCACACAGATTCCCCCTATCATAAAAGCACTTGCTTTAAAACATTGACAGATTGTAGGACTGTTATTTAGTTTGGTTTAAATTTACTGATAACAAAATCAATATTTTTACTGATAAAAACAATATTCAAAGATCTAATTACAATGTTGAATTGGTAACGTTTTAGAATAAGTTTATTTAAAGGATCAATAAGTTTACTAAATTTACGAGCTGGGTAAACGACATCACTGCAAAAATTTAGATATGATATCCTGTTTGCAGTAAGTTTTCTACAGGTACAGGCAAAACTTCCAAACCAAGTTTTTGTATCTATGGAAGAATTAAGTAAAGGTTTTTAGTAATTTGTGGTAATGAAATCCTTGACATAATAATTTACCAGTAATATATAGATTATTTTCATTGAAATCCAAAATGTCACTATAGACAAGGGCATAGCGAATGAGTTGGGATATATAAACACTGTAAGATGATGCAAATAGAACATCAAAATCTAAAAAATGAAAATTTACAATCACTGACAATAGGGAACGAAAAATCGTTCCTTTTGTTGTAATTTTATGTGAAGAGTTTCCCAACTAAAACTGAAATAACTAAATCTAGGAATGGATAGTTATTGCTGTTTATATTTGATTTATTTAAAGTCAGTTCATTTGGGTGAATTTCGATAGTATACTTAGATTGATTGATTGATTGATTGATTAGTGTTTTTAAAAGCCACTTTCAGAACTTTTGTGCTATTTTATGGCGGTCAGAGAACCAGTATATCTAGAGAAATCTTGACTATTTAACGAAAAAATATCATTAAAATAACAGTACTATTTTTGCTCTTATAGTGTTTTAGCTAAAAACTTGCCACCCACCAACCCCTCCTTTCACCTTCAATATTGCCATGACAGGGGAATCAATCTCAGCACAGTTTATAGCAGATTTTATTGATTTCATTTATGAAATTTTATCACTGGTTGTTTCAAAAATTTCACTCATCCCCCAAGAATTTCTGGGGATAAACTGTCAAATTTCATACAAATTCATTCCAACACCAATTCAACATCAACATTACTAGGCTTCCTCATAGACTCCTTATAGGCTTCCTCATTGCCTCATTATAGGCTTCCTCATAGCCTCATAGGCATGATAGCCTCTAGGCATGATAGCCTCATAGGCTTCCTGATAGCCTCACGCATTTATTTGGAACCATCGTTCCAATTGGATTGGTGCGATGTCAAGCCAGGGGTCTATACTTTGCTACTTTTCAGTATGCACATAGCTAGGCTCTTGGTTTAGGCATGGAGCAAAAAATTAAATTTTTTAGCTGAGTAGATTCCGAGTTGAAAAGTCAAAATTTTCAAGCGAATTAATTAAAAGGACCATCAAAAGCACATAATTTTTCTAAAACCCTCTTTAAGACATTGACATTTCTGCCATATTTTTCTCATTTTTTTTTTAAATTGGATCAAATTACAGAGTATAAAAGCATCTCCTTCAATATATTTAAATACCCCCCTGCAAAATTTATTCTTAAGCTTTTTGTTTATCTAGTTTCAGGGAAGGCTCAAGTATTTATTTTGAATAGGATAAAGAGACAACATTTCTGTTTTTTATGTCACTATATGTCTAAAACAAATTTGGTAATATTGTTTGCTGGGCACACTGTAAGGATGTCAAACCTACCTGATGTAACATTGGTATTGACTGGTATATAAGTTCCATGTGTTGGATTGAAATAAAACTGCTTTATTCCAACAGATGTTTGTGACTTAGTTGATCTAACTGTATGTCCTGAAATAAATAATAAAAACACAATTATACAATAAACTGTTGACACAGAGATATGTCTTGCCTGTCAGCATAAAACTCTGAAAATGACAATCTGATGGACAGCAACATTGCTAATTATTCAATGTCCCTGAACTAGTGAACAGGGCCTCAAAATGGTTCACAAACTGAGATGTACAGACAGCAATGCAACTTTATAGAAAATATTGTTGTCTATTGTAATTAGTTCCTTTCAAACTGATTTAAGCAGAAAACTTAACATTGAAAACTATCGGGCAGGGCTTGGAAATAGTCGTCAAACTGATATGTACTGATAGCAATGCAACTTTATAGAAAATATCATTGTTTCACAACTAGTTCCTATCAAATTAACTTAAGCAGAAAACTTCACATTTAAAATTGCTTATTAATTGAAAGTCACTGAACCATGGCCTATGGGACAGGGCCTCAAAGTAGTCGTCAAACTGATATGAACTGATAGCAATGCAACCTAATAAAATACATGTAAATTGAAAATGCCTAATGGTAAAATTATGTGAATACTTGTACAAAAAAGTTTAACATAAATACATAACAATGCTGGGGAGATCCCTGCAGCAAACTTAAAACTGTATGAAACTTCACCTGGGGAGATCCCGTCAGGTGTGAGCTACTTGACTAAAGAAAATTACCAACCTGGGGAGATCCCGGCAGGCCTATTCCTGAGGAGATCCTGGCAGGAATTAACTTAATACCTTAAAATACATAATTGTTCCTGGGGAGATCCAGGCAGGAATTACCTTAAATATTAAAATACATAATTGTTCCTGGGGAGATCCCGGCAGGAATTACCTTAAATATTAAAATACATAATTGTTCCTGGGGAGATCCCGGCAGGAATTAATCTATCTGATGTATTATTGAATTGGGGGAGTATAATTCCCCTTGAATTATAAAGGCGAAATTGAATGAATTCATAAAAATGAATGAGTGAAAGACCCCAAGAAATAATGCCTTATAAAAATATAAATTGGTTATATGAAAACTATAACAAAGACTAAAAAATAATGCCTTATAAAAATATAAATTGGTTATATGAAAACTATAACAAAGACTAAAAGATACATTTTTCATGATCTTTACAAATAACCTTCTTCTCAGTCTTGATGTATCTTATACAACATTCTGAGGACCATCTCTCAAGAATAATCACAAAACTGCTTACGTTATAACCAAGGAGTATTTAAAGTTGTCCAAAATGGTTAATAAAAGCCTTGCATCAAAGTCACCTCAAAGAATAGAGGAGAAAGTTATACTGCTCCCATTCTAAAATGTACTTTTAGTACTTATTCATTGTCTCAACTGGTTCAAACTGTTCTCATTGATTGTTAAATTCACTCTTGTTCTAAAAGGATCAGTCTTTGGTGTTCTTAGTTTCACACAAAAAGTAAAGGTACTACTGGTATCAACATCACTGATTATTAAGCAATTTAGATTGCATCCCTATTTTGACAAGTGAATTTTTCACATCGAAATAAACCAAAGAAAGCTGTTTAAATGCACAATGCAACATTATTTATGAAAAGTGAGAAACTCCTGTTGATAACATGTTGCACAAACGCTGTAACATGGGTGATGAAAATGGTGGCCTGTTCATAGAAGCATAAGTTGCTATTTCTTGATCAACACAATATACCGTATAGCGGGTTATTTTTGCGGGTATAAAATTTCGCGATTAAGGGGCAACAAAGTATAAGAAAAATTTTGGTGGTTTTTATTTTGGTGGATTCTTAAATACCCAATTAAATATTTTGGCAGATACTGAAATTGTTGCAGTTAAAAAGTTGTAAAACTTGACAAACAAGTGTCTATTGTTATGGTAAAATGATTTGTTTTTACCTGAATGACGTCGTATTTATTGATTATATTCTGATATCGATACAGTTTATAGAATACCGATGACTTAGATATTTGTTACAGGTATTCAAAAGTCTTGTAAATTTTACAGTTGATTAGTTACGAAATTGACCGGACCTTTGATGTACTTACTAATTAGGTTACAAAATTATCATGAGTTATAGTTTGACACTAATTAATTAGGGTAATTATCTGATAAGAGTTCCTTACACTCTTATTCTAATTGACACTTATTAATAAGGGTATACACACCTGACAGTCATTTTATAAAATACATGTATGTACAATGCCCTTTGACATTTATGTTGTTAAAACTAACATATACCGCTATTGACTTGCCGACCGGAAAAAATAGATTGTTCACAAAACGCTTTAGCTATTAGAAAGTACCCAACGTATGCATAAATTTTCACGGAATTTATTTTCGCAATTTTCGTTTATCCGCCAAAATAAGCGAAAATAAACACCCCGCAAAAATAACCCGCTATACGGTATAAGGTAATTGCTCGGTCCCTGTTGTAGGGTAGTTATGACAAGCAAATAATGATATCAAATCCAAGCTATATACAATTTATTATTATCATGCTGCAATTTCTTTTCGGTTCTTACAGTATGTTGTAAAGTAAATCAAATGGTTCTCTGTAAAAGTAGGAGACAGTTCATGGAACTCTGTATGCCACTTATATTCAGAAATGATAAAAAAAAAACCGTAAAGTTGATTTATAAGCTTGTTGCATTCTTATGCTTAACGATAAGTCCCATAAATTGCGTGCCTGTCGTTCTAACACATCATTATTGTGGTGGCAGGAATCAAGGTACTGCTTTCCTTTAATTCCGGTGTGAGTGTTCTGAATTCTGCATCTGATAACGATAAAGAGAATCAGTAATATTGGTACTAATATCTGTATCTGTATCTGTACCTGTATCTGTATTTATACTGTAAATAAAAAAAGGAAAAACGACCTGGGAATTCCCAGCAGGCCTACGATACTCCAGGGAGATCCCAGTGGAATAAAAATAATACATTAAAATACATAAATGTTTCTGGGGAGATCCCTGCAGCTAACTTATAATGTATGAAATTTCACCTGAGGAGATCCCAGCAGTCCTACAAGACTCCGGGGAGATCACAGCGGAGTAAATATGTAAAAATAATATCACTTATACTGCATGAAATGTTCACCAGGTGAAGAGCAATATAGAATAAAGAAAAAAAACGACCTGGGGAGATCCCAGCAGGCCTACAAGACTCCAGGGAGATCCAAGCTGGGTAAAAAATAATACATTAAAATACATAATTATTACTTATACTGTATGAAATGTTCACCTGGAGAGATCCCGGCAGGTACAGAGGAATAAAGAGAATAAACGACCTGGGGAGATCCCGGCAGGCCTACAAGACTCCGGGGAGATCCCAGATGAGTAACACTAATACATTAAAATACATAATTATTTCTAATACTGTATGAAATGTTCACCTGGGAAGATCCCGGCAGGTGTAGAGCAATATAGAATAAAGAGAATAAACGACCTGGGGAGATCCCAGCAGGCCTACGAGACTCTGGGGAGATCCAAGAGGAGTTTAAAAATAATACATTAAAATACATACTTATTACTCATACTGTATGAAATGTTTACCTGGGGAGATCCCGGCAGGTGTAGATAAAGAATAAAGAGAATAAACGACCTGGGGAGATCCCAGCAGGCCTACGAAACTCGGGGGGAGATTCCAGCGGAGTAAAAATAATACATTAAAATACATAATTATTACTTATACTATATGAAAAGTTCACCTGGAGAGATTTCGGCAGGTGTAGAGCAATATAGAATAAAGAGAACAAGCATTCTGAGAGTATTGCATGGCAATACATAGTCCCCTACCTGGTAAAAATTCATTATACTGGAACAAAAAGCTAACTTGTTCTATAACTTGTCATGGTGTAAACAAAAAGAAAATATCAAGTCAATGTCTTCAAGCATGACTAAAAACAGTGTGGAAACTGATTAAATTAGTGAATTTTTTTCAAGTCCAAGGACCATAACTCTGCACAAAATTATCCGACCGAAACAAAATTTCTAACTTGATCTGTATAATTTGTCATGATAAAACTATACCAATTATCAATCAATATCTTCAAGCATGATGAAAAAAAGTGTGGAAAACACTTTAACATTAGATATGATTAATAGTTCTCTAAAATTAGATATGATTTAATACAGTGTATATCTTTTTTCAAATTATAATCAAATATAATTAATAGTTCCAAATATTTTTTTCTTTTATTTGTCACAAACTAATATAGATTTGTAACTTATCTATAAAATGTCAACAATTTTTATCTACACAATGTAATGTAATATATACATTAATAAAAATAGATTATTATCTAATTAAAGGATTTCACTTCATAATTTTTTTTATATATATATATAGCATTCAGAAAATTAGTTTATACAAAATAACAAACAAACCTGCCAAAAAATTCTTCAAATAATTTACCAAAGAATGTCTTTTAAAAAATGAGTTATCTCCCTTTGTACAGAAATATGGTTTAACATATAGTACTCTAACATTAGATATGGTCCATAACTCTGGACTAAATCATCAAAACGGAACAAAATTTGAACTTGATCTATAACTTGTCATGGCAAAACTATATCCCAAATATCAAATCAATATCTTCAAGAACGAAAAAAAAAAATGTGGAAAACTGATTTGCAGGACTGACAGATGGACAGACGGATGGATGGACAGACGGACGGACGGACGGACAGACAGATGGACAGAGTGCAAACCTAAAGTCCCCTTCGACTTCGTCAGTAGGGGACTAATAAACGACCTAGGGAGATCCCAGCAGGCCTACGAGACTCCAGGGAGATCCCAGCGGAGTAAAAATAATACATTAAAATACATAATTATTACTTATACTGTATGAAATGTTCACCTGGGGAGATCCCGGCAGATGTAGAGCAACATAGAATAAAGAGAATAAATGACCTGGGGAGATCCCAGCAGGACTACGAGACTCCGGGGAGATCCCAGCGGATTAAAAATAATACATTAAAATACATAATTATTACTTATACTTATGCAATGTTCAACTGGG